CCGGCCGTCGGAGGAGGGCCCGAGGGCGGGGGGCGGCCGGGCCGGCCGGCGACGGGCCTGCGGAGCCGTGGGGACGCGCCCGGGAGGGGACACCGCGCAGCACCTGTCACTCCCCTCCTCGGGCGGCATCGACCGAGGCTTTGTGCCGGGCGTGCTCCCGGGCCAGGGAATAAGTGGGGGCCAGACAACGCCGGCAGGGTCTCTCTCGGGTCCTGGATCAAAGCCTGGGTATTGAATGAAGGCTCGGCAGGCTAATTATCACTCCACACGGGTTGAGTCTTTTTGCGCCAATCCCGGGTGACTAAAATTGAGCTTACGTTTTTTGTTCCTGGAAGTCCCCGACCAGATGCGTGGATCGAAAGTGGTGGACTGTAACCCTAAAATAACGCAGGCTTGGAGGACCCTAGGAAAGTTTTTTTCCGAACTGATAGATAAATTCCAGGGATGGGTTTTTGTTTCATAGGTGAGGACGGTGACTGCCTAAAAGGATGTCCGGTTCTGTTGGCAGCAAATCACGGTCCTTTTAAAAGCTGTCAGTCCAAATGCGCGTGAACCTGCTGAGCTTTACTCGCCGGGAGGCGTACGTGTCCGCACGTGCGCACACGCTTATTTCTTACAAATGTTGGTCTTTCGCAAATGAGCATGAAGAAAGAAACCCTAAGATCGAGTTTTCAGAATAATTGTCTAGTGAGCCTCCAGATGACATGTGACTTACGGAGTATCACAATTGCCTTCCAGGCTGGTGAGCGTTGTTTACAGACTTAGGGGAAGATAACTCTTGATTTTCTGAAAAGGGTTTTTGTTTTGTTTTGCCGCTAGCATGGGTGACGTGAGAGGTTGATGTTAACATTCTCAACAGCCGAGATGAAAAAAAAAAAATGCTTATATTAATGTGATTCTGTTTCTTCATACTTTAGGAGGAAAATAAAATTTTGTTTTACCATCCAAATGAAGTAGAAAAGAATGAGAAAATTAGAAATGTTGGATTATGTGAAGCTATTGTACAGTTTACAAGGTAACGCCTTTAAATGCGCTTTTGCAGAGCTCAGTGAATTCTTACACCTCGTACAACTTGGAGAACCGTCCCAAACATATTCTTTTTTAACCTTTTTAGGACCTTTAGTCCATCAAAACCTGCAAAGTCTTTACATACACAGAAGAATAGACAGTTCTTCAATGAACCAGAAGAGAATTTCTGGATGGTCATGGTATTTACATACACAGTACATCTTTTTGAATTTGTGTAGCGAAGTTATGGGTGATCTTTACTGTTAGGACTTTAGGAAAGTCCTCTAGCTTTTGCAAAGTAAAATCACAATAAAGTTGGTTGCAGTTTTAAAATCGAACTCCTATTCAGTGTATTTGTTCTTGGGGCTGTTTTAAGAAGTTGTGTTTTTGGTGTTGTGACATGTTCACATTTTTTCATTTAAGGGAAAATTTAAAACTTCTATAATTGGGTCATTGTGTAATTTCTTTCTATCAAAACTGTGTAGGTTGTTCGGAATCCTATAATTGAAAAGCAAAGTAAAGATGGAAAACCAGTTGTTGAATACCAAGAGGAGGAGTTGTTGGTAATGTGTCATTTTTCATTTCATATTTCTAGAAAATGTTGAGTGACTTGGTCAAATTTAAGCTATGTCACTTTTGAAGAAGATTCTCAGGATATGCAGAGTGAAATTTTATGTCTATTTATATTAGCACAATTGTATAAAAATGTATATCTTGTCTCACTAATGCCTTCTAAGCATCTGTTAAGAGCCCTCATAAAATTGGGCTTACTGGTTCATAACTGAATTTAAATACATCTGATTGTCCACACACAAAAGTTGTGGGTCCAAGCTTACACGCATTATATTGTGTTGCCAAGAGTATTGTATATTTGCTGTGCCATGGACTTTTTTGCGCTTGAATTGAGATCTGTGTGTGTGTGTTCGCAGGACAAGGTTTATAGCTCAGTGTTACGACAGTGCTACAGTATGTACAAGGTAAGCAGGACGCGCTTTCTGAAGTTAGTCTAACCAGTTACCCCTGTTTACAGGAATCGTTTAAAAATCTTAATTCTTTCGATGACTGCCTGGTGAGTACGTATCTGTTTTAGGGGAAGAATAATGGAGCCTTTGAAACAGCACTGAGGTTTATGTCCACACTTATTCACTGAGTACTGAGTTTTTCTCTATTCCCAGCCTTGTACTAGGAATGTATCCCTGTTGGTAAAAAAGAGTCCATGTGCTTGAGGAAAGAAAAGGCATACTGCAGATATTTGTGTGATTTAAGGAGTGGCGATATTACTTATGTGAAGTGAAACTTAGGTATGAGTTGAGATTTAAAAAAATGCAGGGCACCTGAGTGGCTCCGTCGGTTAAGCGTCCGACTCTTGATCTCAGCTCAGGTCTTGATCTCAGGGTCATGAGTTCAAGCCCAGTGTTGGTGTCTATGCTGAGCGAGAAGCCTACTTAAAAACATATGCCCTGGGGCGCCTGGGTGGCTCAGTTGTTAAGCGTCTGCCTTTGGCTCAGGTCATGGTCCCAGGGTCCCCGGATGGAGCCCCGCCCCGCATCGGGCTCCCTGCTCCGCGGGGAGCCTGCTTCTCCCTCTCCACTCCCCCTGCTTGTGTTCCCTCTCTGTCAAATAAATAAATAAATAAAATCTTAAAAAAAAAAAATGCCCCAAGGGATTAGGTGATTACATAGAAATCTCAATTAACAAAGTGTTGGTTTCTTGTAATTTATTTTATAATTCAGGCTTTCTCATGTAAATATTTTGTATGTTTAAAAATAATAGAGGGGATTAAATAAGGTGAATTAGTTAATCTAAAAGGAAAAGAAGAATCTGTTATACTGGCAAATTGAAGGGTGTTAAGAAATTGACTTTTTAAAAAACTCTTTTACATTATTAGCTTTTTAATGGGACATTTCTGAGAGCCATGGAAGATGGAGGTGTCAAGCTCCTAAAAGAAAGATTAGAGAAATTCTTCCATCGGGTAAGTATTTTGAATTTTACTTAAAATTTTAGTAGTCTTCAAAGAGACTTTTAGAAATATACATACAAGTTTGTTTCTTGATTTGAAAGTGACAAAAACTAAGGTACATTGTGGCAAAACCAGAATAGGGAGAAAACTTCCTTCCATTTTGAATCTTTCGGTAACCCTTTGTGCAGGATCAGAGCATCCTGCCATTTGTGTGCACCCCTACATCATTTTGGAGACCTTTTGGCTTCATCCTCATTCTACCTGCGTCTGTGTGGGCTTACTCAAAAGCGAACGTACTGCATGGTGATTGGTTAATTAGCCGAATTTAAACTCTTGCCCTGAGTCCTGCATTCTTATGGATTGATTATTGTTCACTAAACAGAGTATTGTTTAATCTGTATTGACGTAAGGTAAAATTTTTTGCCATGATAGATTTTATTACTTAGTGAGTTTTTTCCCAAATGATAAATGAATGTGCTGATATAGTTGTCACTCTGTTATACTGCAAGTTAAATTTTATATAGCTTACCTCTGGTAGAATTCAGGTTACCTTTTGGAGAAATAATTCTCTATTTTTTTTCCCCTGAACTACCTTTGATCTGTTTTTGAATTATTTCATTTTTATGAATTACTTTTGTTTCCTATTTGTTCCTGCACTTTAATGACCATAATTATTTACTCTCATGCTGTCTCCTAATTCCTGTTCTTCTTGCCTTCATTACTCTCCTATCTGTCAGCAACTGACTACCTGTCCTTTCGATGTTATTTTAGTAGAAGATGGTACTGTCTGTCCGTGATATCACTGTGTAGATCCCTAATGAGATTAGTATAATTTGAGGAGCACTCATATAAGGAATTAACTCAAAGAGATAAGACAATCTTGAATAATGATTAATGACTTATGTTTGAACTTTGTATTTTGAAATTGGTACCAATTTCACATCCAGTTAGATGTGGCTCACCTGCTTACTGGTCCTATCAGTATGCTAGTATGTAATCATACCATAAATTGACTGACTATTCTCAGCTGTCAGAGTGTTATATTCAGTGTACTCACAGTAAGTTTAATGCCTTGTTTTTTCCTACAGTACTTGCAAACGTTGCATTTGCAGTCATGTGATCTCCTTGACATTTTTGGTGGAATCAGCTTCTTCCCATTGGATAAAATGACTTATTTGAAAATCCAGTCCTTTATTAATAGAATGGAGGAAAGCCTGAGTATAGTCAAATACACTGCCTTTCTCTATAACGATCAACTAATCTGGTATGTACACCCTAAGGCTTGTCATACAAAAGAAGAGAATCTTTTAGGATAATAAAAATAGCAACAACTGGATTGAAAGCAGGTTATCAAACTGGAATGAATAGCAAGGGGGCAAGGTAGGAAGCATATTTATAGGTAACTGTCAAAGTAAAGCAGTGATTATTTAAACCAAAGGCAGGGTAATTTGGGTTAAAATGATCAAGCAGGGGAGTTTAAAACTGGATCCATGAAAGGTGGAGAAAATGTTCCTATCGAGTTAAGTTTAGGAATCCTATTTTTATTTTGGTGTTCTTCCAAAAACCTCTTTAAAGAAACAGTATAGTAAATGTGGAAAGCATACTTTGCATACTTTCTTTTAAAGCTAGGCTTTTAAAAATACCCAAGAGGTTACATGTGCTATAATACCAGGAACTTACCCACTGGCAACCAAAGGTGCATCCTATAGTAAAAACAAAAACAATTTCTCTGAAAGTGTTGATACTTGAGAAGAAAAGATGAACTGTAACTAAATGCTTTCCGCTACCTAAGACAGCTCCGGAAGAAGCCGTGTGGCTAGGCAGGTGACTGACCGCATAGAGGCTGTGGCCCTGAGAGAGACCTGGAGCCAGCTGATGATCTGAGATGGACCACTGGGGTTCAGGAGCTGTTCCGGGGGCTCACCGTGTTCAGTTTTCATGTTTCCATGGACTGTACCCCACTTTCTGCCGTTAAGGATGTGGCCGTATTTGAGCCTGAAAACTTGAGTTCAGCTAACAGAAAGGGCAGTCGTGGTTTCTGGAAATCCATCCTCTCCCTGCTGAGATCTTGTAGCATCATTTTAGGAAGAGAAAGAAGCTAATCCAAAGAAATTTGAATCTGTTTGTGGAACACACTGATGAGTTTTCATGTAGAATTCGTTTTCTCCTGTGAAAACAACATGACGTCCAGATGAAAAGGTGTCTCCTTTTTTATTTAACAAATTGTTTAGCAGGACACTTAATGCTGTATTAGCTGGCCTTGTTCTAGTTGCTTTTTATGATATTCACGCTGTGGTAGTAAAATGAAATTCTTAATGCTGCCGTGAGAGGTTGAAGGGGAGTTACCCAGGGTTGGAGGGAGTCAGGTCTGACGAGGGAGCGGCCCTCCAGAGGCCGAACTTCCAGGGAGGTGCTGGAAAGGCTGCACCCAGCAAGGAGACGGAGGGATGGACTAGAATCCCATAGCAGTCCGTGATCTCAGGTGCCGCTGTCAGAGGAAGGTGGCTCAGATTCCGATCGCCTGACCGCATAACCCCTGACGTAGGCGTGAACTCTGGGGGTGAGAAAGGGTACAGGCCTAGAGCAAGAGGCCCCGCTCAAAGTCAGCAGCTCCTGCTGAGAGGCCGTGGAACCAGCATGACCAGTGGGCTTGGGTCTGGAAGCAGAGCTCCCAGGGCTGCTTGTTGCCCAACTCCTGGGGATCCTCTTGGCATCTTTGTCTCTGTGAAGGACATCCCCTGGAGTTAAGCAGTGTCCAGCTCCGGTGGCTCATAGGACTGCTCTGGGGTCCCAGCCCAATACGCCGACGGGGCAAGGGTGGCCCCAGGCAGTCATCGTAAGAAGGAGCTTCAAGAAAAACGACACGTTGTGGGAGGCAACTGTTAGTTACGAAGCTGGTGTGTTTAAATACCAGTGAAGTATTTTATAGTTCACGAACAGAATATATATTTGTTCTTATTGCTTACTATTGTATTTATGTGTGTGTGTGCTTGCGTGTATTTAGTTTTGAATGCTTTGTTTTGTCACGTGGAGCCCAATTTTTTTTTTTTAAATCATTCTTATTTTTGTCATCTTGATAGGTGTACTCTTTAATCCCATCCCCTCTTTCCCCCACCTTCCCACCCTCTTCCCCTCTGGTAACCATCTGTTTGTTCTTTATAGTTGAGAGTCTGTTTCTTGGTTTGTCTCTCTCTTTTTTCCTTTGCTCATTTCTTGCTTAAATTCCACATATGAGGGAAGTCATATGGTATTTGTCTTTCTCTGACTTATTTCACTTAGCATTATAGTCTCTAGCTCTATCCATATTGTTGCAAATGATAAGATTTCATTCTTTTTTATGGCTGGGTAATATTCCATTGTATGTATATGCCGCATCTTCTTTATCCATTTACCGATTTATGGACACTTGGGCTTCTTCCATAATTTGACTATTGTAAATAATGCTGCTATAAACATGGGGAAGGGTGCATGTATCCCTTTGAATTAGTGTTTTGTATATTTTAGGTAAAGACCCAAGAGTGCAGTTGCTGGATCGTAGGGTAGTTCTATATTCAACTTTTTGAGGAAGCGCCATACTGTTTTCCACAGTGGCTGCATCACCACCAGCTTGCATTCCCACCAACAGTGCAAGAGGGTTCCTTTTTCTCCACATCCTTACCGACACCTATTGTTTCTTGTGTTGTTGATTTTAGCTATTCTGAGAGGTACCTCATTGTAATTTTGATTTGTATTTCCCTGATGATAAGTGATGTTGAGCATCTTTTCATGTGTCTGTTGGCCATCTGGATGTCTTCCTTGGAGAAGTGTCTGTTCATGTTTTCTGCCCATTTTTTAATTGGATTATTTGGTTTTGGGGTATTGAGTTGTATCAGTTCTTCATATATTTTAGATATTAACCCTTTATCGGATTTGTGAATATCCTTCTCCCATTCCATAGGTTGCCTTTTAGTTGCGTTGACTGTTTCCTTCACTCTGCAGAAACTTCTTATTTTGATGTAGTCCCAGTAGTTATTTTTTATTTTATTGCCCTTGCTTCGGGAGACGTATCTTGAAAAATGTTGCTACAGCCGATGTCAGAAACATTACTGCCTGTGCTCTCTTCAAGGATTTTTATGGTTTCATGTTTCACATTTAGGTCTTTAATCCATTTGGAGTTTATTTTTGTGTACGGTGTAAGAAAGTGATCCAGGTGCATTCTTTTGCATGCTGCTATCCAGTTTTCCCAGCACCATTAGTTGAAGAGATTGTCTTTTCCGCGTTGGATATTCATTCCTCCTTTGTTGAAGGTTAATTGACCATATAATTGTGGGTTTATTTCTGGGTTTTCTGTTCTGTTCCACTCCTCTATGTATCTATTTTTATGCCAGTACCATATTGTTTTAATCATTACTGCGTTATAAATATAACTTGAAATCTGGAGTTGTGATGCCTCCGGTTTTGTGTTTTCAAGACTGCATTGGCTATTTGAGGTCTTCTGTGGTTCCGTACAGATTCTAGGATTGTTTGTTCAAGTTCTGTGAAAAATACTGTTGGTGTATTAATAAGGGATTTTGTTAAATGTGTAGATTGCTTTGGGTCGTATAGACATTTTAACAATATTTGTTCTTCCAGTCCATGAGCAGGGAATGTCTATTTGTGTTGTCTTGAATTTCTTTCATCAGTGGTTTATAGTTTTCAGAGTACAGGTGTTTCACCTCCTTGGTTAAGTTTATTCCTAGATATTTTATTGTTTTCAGTGCAGTTGTAAATAGGATTCTTTTCTTAATTTCACTTTCTGCTGCTTCATTATTAGCGTATGGGAATGGAACAGATTTCTGTACATTGATTTTTGTGAATTTACTGAATTCATTTATCAGTTCTAATAGTCTTTTGGTGGACTCTAAAGTTTTCCACATATACAGTGTCATGTCATCTGCAAATAATGAGTTTTACTTCTTCCTTACCAATTTGGATGGCTTTTTTTTTTTTTTTTTAAAGATTTTATTTATTTATTTGACAGAGACAGAGATAGCGAGAGCAGGAACACAAGCAGGGGGAGTGAGAGAGGGAGAACCAGGCTTCCTGCTGAGCAGGGAGCCCGACGCGGAGCTCGATCCCAGGACCCTGGGATCATGACCTGAGCCGAAGGCAGACGCCCAATGACTGAGCCACCCAGGCGCCCTTGGATGGCTTTTTATTTCTTTTTTGTCTGACTGCTCTCGCTAGGACTTCCAGTACTATGTTGAATAACAGTGGTGAGAGTGGACATGCTTTGTCTTATTCTGACCTTAGGGAAAAGCTCTCAGTTTTTCCCCATTGGGTATGATGTTCGCTGTGGGTTTTTCATATATGACCTTTATTATGTCGAGATATGTTCCCTCTAGGCCTACTTTGCAGAGGGTTTTTATCATGATGGATGTTGTACTTCGTTGAACGCTTTTTCTGCACCTATTGAAATGATCATATGGTTTTTATCCTTTTTCTTATTGATATGTATCACGTTGATTGTTTTGCAAATACTGAACCACCCTTGCATTTCAAGAATAAATCCCACTTGATCATGGTGAATGATTTTTTTAATGTACTGTTGGATTGGTTTGCTACTTATTATATTGTTTTGAAATTATCTGATTGAAGGTAGAAACGTCTGTCTGTCCCAGGACATGGCCAGAACCTGGTACATTGTAGATGCTTGGTAAATGGTTGTGAGCTCAAAGCAGATGGTTAGTAGAAAATATCTTCTAGTTCTGTTTGGACTTTGTTGCATTTAATGGATGGATTTGGTGTTGCAGTGGCCATGATAGGATTAGACATTACCGCTGTTTGGTAAGAGGATGTCAGTCAACTTTCTTGTCCAGAGTTCTTGGCCTGTTTTTTGAGAGAATTTTCTTTTTAGTGAATTGATTTACTTTCCAGAGGTTAATGCTTTTATGAATAAATGGTTTAGCTATTTGTAAGTTAATCAAAGTTGACTATACCCTTGGATCTTGACTAGATTATATTTAATACATGACAATAACATCTGTATTGTAGACAAAACTGAACCTGATATGAAGGTTTCTACATTGCATTCAAATGGATCAGTTGAGATTTAAGCTGAAGAAAAGTTTTTTTTTTTTTAAGAAAAAACTTTAGGGGCACCAATTGGTTAAGCATCTGCCTTCGGCTCAGGTCATGATCCCAGGGTGCTGGGATCAAGCCCCACATCGGACTCCCTGCTCCACCGGGAGCCTGCTTCTCCTTCTGCTTGTGCTCTCTCTGTCAAATAAAAAAAAAAATCTTTAAAAAAAATAAACTTTATAAATAAAAAATTATTTCAAAAAATAAGTTTAAATAAGAAAAAATTATTCATATTAACCATATTTGAGAGACTTTGAGAGAACACCTACACTTCTGAGCATGACTAGGCTATTGCCTGTTTGATGTGAACCATTGATGCAGTCCTGAATCATTTGGGCCTGTTAGTGCAGGAATTTTTTGCTTTGTGTATTTATTTATCTATTTGTTTATTTGCACTAAGGAAGGAACTTTTTAACTTTTTAACTTTTTTTAATAAGAACTTCCCCCAATAGTAACATCTTCCATAATTATAATGCATTATCGCCTCATTTATTCTTTGTAGGAGAGCGGAAGTAGGGATGGGGGTGGCAGACACTGGAGAGGGCTACTGTGGTCCGAGGCCTCGCTGTAGGCCACGTGGGAATCGCCTACTTGGGGTTTTGTGCTCTGGACACCTGGCTGCAACTTAGTATTTTTCTTTTTAAGTTTTCTATCCAGATGACCAATACCAGGGTATTTAATGCCTAGCATTAAATCTAAAGCGAAATAATAAAACAAAGCCCTAGTCACAGTACACATGGTAAGCAGTTAAGTAGTGTTGTCTGCCGTCTCCTCTTACAGGGTTTTTCCTACTTCGTGTCCTATGGTCTAGAATGGCGACATTCAATAAGAAGATAGTGCAGGGGTGCCTGGGTGGTTCAGTCAGTTAAGCATCTGACTCTTGATTTTGGTCCAGGTCATGAACTCAGGATCAAGCCCCACACTGGGCTCCACGCACAGGGGGGAGTCTGCTTGGGATTCTCTCTTTCCCTCTGTCCATCTCCCTGTCTGCTGGCTTGCGCTCTCTCAAATAAAGTCTTTTTTTTTTTTTTTTAATTTTATTTATTTACCTGAGAAAGAGAGCACGCTTGAGAGAAAGAGCACAAGCAGAGGGAGAGGGAAAAGCAGACTCCCTGCAGAGCAGGGAGCCCTATGCAGGGGCTCAATCCCAGGACCCTGAGATCATGACCTGAGCCGAAGGCAGATGCTTAACCGACTGAGCCACCCATGTACCCCTAAATAAAATAAATGTAAAAAAAAAAATATAGTGCAAGCCACATATATAATTTTAAGATTCCTAGTAGCTATGTTCAAATGAAAAGAAACTGGTAAGATTAACATTTTAGCCCCATATATCTAAAATTATTTATTTCAACCTGTAAAGGCTTAAATTATTAATGAGCTATTAAAAATTTATTATTTCAACACATAAACAACGTAAATTATTAATGACCTATTCTTTTCGTGCTAAATCTTAGCAATCCAGTGTGTGGTTTACACTCATTTCAACAAGCCACATCTCAAGTGTTCAGTGGCCATATGCGCCCAGTAGCTGCTCTTTTTTTTTTAAGATTTTGTTTATTTATTTGAGAGAGGGAAAGCGAGCAAGTGAGCGAGAGAGAGCACCAGCGGAGGGAGAGGGAGAAGCAGGCTCCCTGCTGAGCAGGGAGCCCAACTCAGGGCTGGATCCCAGGACCCGAGATCATGACCTGAGCCAAAGGCAGATGCTTAACTGACAGAGCCACCCAGGCGCCCCCCACTAGCTGCTCTTATTGGAAGTGCAGCTCCAGAAGAAATTGCCCAGCCCATAGTCATTTATGTAGTGTCTTCTACCTATCATCGACAACCCCTCCCTACTGGTACTTCTTACTAAAGTCTTAAAAGGAAAATAACATCCAGAACCTGTTTTGTTTTCCTCCTTCTGTCTTCTTACCTCAGTTATTTCTGTAAAAGAAAAAAAACGGGTGACTTCATGTGTTTGATTTGGAGATTCCATCCGCCCAGTTGGCCGCATAATACTTTGAGAGTTAGAGTTGTCATAGGACAAACAAAACAAACCTGCTTAAGGGGCTGGGGCTCCCCCCCTGATAGTTTTAGTTGTGGACAAGACCTTATGAAAATTGACCTGGAAAGGAGAGAGGCGGTAGAGGAAAAGGAAGAGGTGAGACAGCATTGGAAGAGTCTCAGGAAGGGAGCAGCGTGTATTTGCCAAGGAAAGCCAAATTTCTCTAACAGATGGTTTCACTGGGAAAAGAAGAGAGAGCCTCTGGAATACGGTGTAGAGGCTTCATTTATAATAAAGTTGGATTTCATCACAGGATTTTTTTTTTTTTCTGGTTGTCTTGAATGGAAAAAAATCAGACACAGACTCATGGCCTGTTTATATCCCTACCTAGAGAACTGATCCCAGATGGGGTCTGCTGCCTGCCGGTGTCTCAGCACTGTTTCCACGTGCTGCTTACTCTTGCTTCATTTCAGATTAGACTTGCCTGAAAGTTTGTTGCTTTCTCTTCCTCCTCTCTGCCTACACTGAAGTCCTAGAATTAAGATCCACATACGTTTCTGAGACTGAGTAGGAGCAAGTTCCCCATCAGCAGCAGGCCAGTGTTTCCTGGGAGGCTGGGTGCAAGCAGGTGGCATTTCCCTATAGCCTGGAAAGTGAAGAGAAGTCTGCTACCTGAAGTGGAGTGTTGTGGTTACTAATGCTCCCTGAAGAATCCCACGTGGAATTCAAGCAAGGAATCAAGTCAAATCAAATCAGACCAGTGACTTCTTGTTTAAAATGGCATGTAAAATGCAGGATGACACAGTAGTCGCCTTTGCCGGCTCAGGATAAAGTGCTAGTGGCAGACTAGTTTAATTCCTTCCCTTCTGGAACTTCCCAGTCAAGGAAAGGGCTTCTGGCTATAATGTAAACAAGAAAAAAAGAGGAGCTTTATTATGATCAGAGCCACAGGAAGACAGAAGACCAGTTCCAGGCTTTTAACACCATGCTTTTCTGCTATTTCAGGAGTGGGTTAGAGCAAGATGACATGAGAATTTTATACAAATACCTCACCACGTCTCTGTTTCCAAGGCATATCGAACCTGAGGTACGGCCGGGCACTGGTCTTCCTCCCTCCCACCCCCGCCTCTGTCTCTCTCTATGAACGTGTGTGTTGTATGTATACATACAAGCCCACCGGGCTGGGGGGCTGGGGGGGCAGGGGAGGAGGGTGGAGTAATGCGGTGGTCGGTGGGGCACCTCTGACCTATACATTACGTTGCTAGTGTGATATTTATCTGGTTGTGTATCGCTTAACACAGAAAATCATGTGTGTCAGCTCTTTGTTTTGTTATGTTCAAGTACGATAGCAAAGGTCTGTTTTTAAGAGGAGCAATTCATTGGGTAGCGGAGAAACAGGTTTTAGGTAGGGTTCTGGGAACTTGAAAACACCTGGGATCTTTGACAGAAGAAAGGTGAATCCTGTGGTTTTGTCACCTACAAGCATGAGGTGTCATTCTGTAGATATTCTATTGCCTGCCTGGCTTTTCCACTGTGATGCTTACTTTCCCAGTTTTCTGCAGAGACCTATAAGTAATACTGCAGCCTTCTCCCCAAAGTGTCCTTTTGCAGCTGTCATTAGGTTGAGGATGAAAAATATTCATAGCCCACGAATCATTTCAGCTGAGGTGCATACACACGCTCGCTCGCTCCCTCCCCATTTAAGGCTATAACTTGAAACAACAGGAAAAAAAACCCTCTTTGATAAGAAATTGAAAGTCCGGTTTTGAGAAGGACTTGGTCCTGCATGTAGTTCCTTTCTAGGCAGTTTGAGGGCAGTGGCTCATGTTTCTTAGGTACGTACCATGTCCCAGACACTGTCCTGAGTGCCCAGCAAACGTGAATTATCTCCTGGCATCCTGACAACGATCCTGAGTAGGATACCTTATCCCCACCTTACAGCTAGGATACTCAGGCTAGGGGGCTTCCATGACATACCTGGGGTCACTTCGCCAGGAAGTGGCAGGGCCACGACTTGATCTTAGGATCTGCCTGATGCTAAAGCACCTGTTTACGTCCACACCCTCAGGAGGCTTTTCCATGTGTGACAGTGCAGCTGCCCCAGCAGAAAACCCTGGTACTTTATTATCTACCTGCCCAGAGAGCGGGGCTTATAAAATAGGAAACCACAGTATTCAACACAGCAATGTGAGTGTGGGAGCATGAGGCCTTTTTTTCTCAGTACAGACTGCCTACCTGAGGGTCAGATACCCATTTTTACTACTGGATTTAGAACGTTTTTCAACCTTTTTTGTGTGTGTGTGGCTATATGCTAAAATTTTATGTAGACTAAAAGAATGTCAGAATTTTTTAGAAAGAAGTTTCAGCTAACATGACTATTGGATTTGTTTTTGTTTTTGTTTTTTTTCCTTTTCCTGTGCGTATTGAAATAGTACATCTTCGGCAAAAGAGTCTCAGGAGTGTGCTACAGATACAAATCGTGAGGAGGCATGACGTCCTGGCGGAAGGCTTTGATGTCAGACAGGCATGGGGTTGGCGCCTGGCCCTGCCACACAGGAGCGCTGTGTGCTGGGGAACTTACGCTAACTTGAGTTTCCACAACGAGACAATAGGAAGAGTGTGCTGCCGCTAGGGTCCTATGAGGTGGTCATTGCCTAGCTTACGTTAACCACGTGGGAAATTTCGGTCACTGCTATAAAAGGAACTAAGTCAGTCTGTGGAGTATAGGGTACGATGAAGATATGAACGTTCTGGTTCATATCAATGCAGCCTTTATGTAGCTCTTGTAATCCCCCCTCCCTTTTATTAGTGGGGAGGAATACGAGTAAATGATACAGAAAAATGGCATGGAGCCAACTGGTAGGTATGAATGCGGTTTTCAAAGCTTCAAAAGGAGAAAATCTAATAAGTCATTTCCCAATGTTGAATTTGTTTACAGTTGGCGGGAAGGGATTCTCCAGTAAGGGCGGAGATGCCAGGAAATCTTCAGCATTATGGAAGGTAGAACTTCTGTTCTTCGATATATAGTATTGGATTTTATTTTATTTTATTTTTTTGGCAAAGGTAAAATCATCAACACTGAATTACATTTGTGCTGTTTATTGGCAGTCATCAGCAAAGGAAATGCTGTTGTTTCCAGTGAATTAAAACTTTATCAGACTCTGAAATTTGGTGTTTTCCAAGTAATGTCTAGCTTCCAAAAAAAAAAAAAAGAATATATATTAAGTGGTAATATATTCTGTCTTACATATTCCTGTTTATCATTTACCCAATTGAATTGAGTCATTTCTGTGCTTACTTTTCAGATTTCTTACTGGACCCTTGAACCTTAATGATCCAGAAGCAAAATGCAGATTCCCCAAAATTTTTGTAAATACGGATGACACTTACGAAGCACTGCATTTAATTGTTTATAAGGTAACAACTGCTTTTCCCTCCAGCAGTACAGATTAATGTGAAAGTAAAGCTTCCTTGCAGTACACTTGTACACGAGTGAGTGTGCCTACACACCTCTTAAATATTTCTCAGAACAGATGTTGAAAGTTCTACTTGTTGTAAAACTCAAAATGGGTGCTTCTCTGGAACAGTGGGTTTATTTTCATTTCCTTTTCAGTGCTTTTCTTATTAGTGTAAGAATCACTGTCTGACACTGTCTGAGGCTGTGACTCAGAAGCTTTTGAAGCCCCGTGTGCTCACACATCAGAGGCCAGCAAAGATGGTGGTGCCTCGTCGTTAGATGCCTTCCGGTGCAGGGCTGTGGCCACACTTCAGTGAGTTCTGCTTTCTCGGATTGGAAAGCACGGGCTTGCTGATTCTGTAACGGTAGTCCAGTCATAGCTCAGATACGTTAGGTTGGGTTTTCTAAAGGTGGTTTTGGGTTCAAGAAAGAAGGCTAATAAGCATGTGTGTTTATTTTCTTCCCCACCTGAGAGTATAGTTATGTTTTAATTTGTAAAGGCCTAGAAATGGTGGTGTGAGAGCACAGGGTGGAGGTGAACATCAGAGTGGAGGGATCCTTCTCTCCCTGGAAGGCAGGAAGGGGGTGTAAGTGGGGTGCTGATGAAGCCCGGCCAAGGACGTGAGTGGAGGAGGTGCACTGAGGCAAGAGCCCACGTGCCCCCACAGAAACCCAGAGAAGCTCCTGGTTTGGAGACAGCACCTAAGGAGTCAGGAGTGGGAGGTGAGCTTGGAAGGGAGGGGAGTAAGTGAAGTGTTGTATATAAACCAGCCAGCCACCCCTTTTCCCATCCTTAAACACACACAGGCAACTGAGCACGTATCCCTGGGTAAAAGTCAAAGGTCCTTTTTTGGTTTTTTTCCTAGGATCATGACCTGAGCCAAAGGCAGACATTTCCAGGCGCCACTCAAGGGTCCTTTTAAAGAAAAACAATCTGGGGGATGCCTGGGTGGCTCAGTCGTTAAGCGTCTGCCTTCCGCTTGGGTCGTGATCCCAGGGTGCTGGGATCAAGCCCCACATCGGGCTCCCTGCTCGGTGGGAAGCCTGCTTCTCCCTCTCCCGCTCCCCCTACTTGTTTCCCTCTCTCGCTTTGTCT